CGAACTCCAAAACGTATTCATTATAAGTATTTACTAAATATTTTCGTGACGGTACTTTCTTCTTGAGCGTCGGTGGCTCAGGGGTCAAGCACTTGTCTTGCAATCTGCAGGTCCTGGGTTTGAATCCCGACATGTACCGATGCGTTTTTCCATTTCCGATTTACATATGTACATTTATCCGACGTTGTTACGGTGAAGGAAAACATCGTGATGCAACCTGCACATATCTGAGAATAAATTCAAAGATATGTGTGAAGTCAACCAACCCGCACTTGGACAGCGTGGTTGACTATGGCCTAATCACTTTTAACTTAGGGTAGGCTCCGAGCTCTTCGGTGGGGACGTATAGCGAGCTGATGATAAACTTTCTTCATATAACTCTAAACACTATTAGAAGGATTTATGTTGTATATAAGTTTTTTAAATGGCTTTACTATGTATCTTGAGTTCCTAAACAAATGTTCTCCTGAAAGCCTCTAATTTGCTTCTGTAAATTAGTGTATTAAGTTGCTTTTTGTGCGTAGTCGAGGAGCGTCGCTAGTTCGCTATATAATTAATGTAACATTCCATTATTCCAGTACATGTGTAACTAACTGGAGTACAACTAATTATAATGACCAGCTTGTTACAACTCGACACAATTATACTTTCGCATTAATTCCCTCAGTTGTTCAACACAAGTGTACATTTAACAATGTTATCATTACACACACACACACACACACACACACACCTACTGATTTGCTTCATATAAATATATTCATACAAAAATATTTAAATTTACATTTGTTTTAACAACTTACATTTGCTTCATAACAACATTTGGAGGTTATTAATATGATGCGCGTATTTTTGCAGTTTGTTCCATATACATGTGAGTTGTGTGTGTTTTATTTTATGTTGATGTGTGCGTGTGTGATAATAAATGTTATTTCTATTTTTTTAAACTTAGTTTATCAGATATTGTAAATCTTTTGAATAATATTAAACAAAACTGTACACAATCTATTATGGGGCTCATAGTGCGAGATCTTTTCTCCATACTTCAAAGTAAACAGTCTCATGGTCATTTCTAATACCATGTGAAATGACATAACATGGAACATTATGTTATTAATTAGGTGCTATGTATTGAATGTCATGTATTAAAGTAGATGGTTAAAAGCTATCAGCAAGTCG